ATATATAGGGTTCAGCCTCCTGATGAGTCGGTGAAACTCCGACGAAACAGTTTGTCACAGCCCCTCGTTTGTTGTCCTCTTCTCCCTCTCTGCCGACGGTTTACCGGGCAGTTCTATTTGATGATATATATATATATATATATATATATATATATATATATATATATATATATATACAGAGTTACCAGGCCGAAAGTACGGAGGCCCCTAAGCTGACCCCCGAACTCGAAGGGGTTTGGACCTCGCAAAACAATATTTTGGTACCTAAGAATTATTATTTTTTTCTAATTTTTTTTTTTTGTGAGTTCTTTGTTATGTAAGCTACCTGTCTCTCAATTTTTGAAGTCATTCTGTGGGGCCACAAAATAATGAAAAATCGGCAAAGATGGTGGTGTCAAAACTTGCTTTCCCACTTACTAATTTGTTTTTTTTTCTCTTTTCACTTTTTGTTTTCCCTTTATTTTAGGGCATGAAAAAATTAATTATTTTTTCAAACTTTATTTGTGGGTTCTCTATTATGTAAGATGCATGTGTAAAATTTCATGGCATTTGTTAAAGTCAAAAAAATAAATGAAAAATCGCCAAAGATGGAGGTGTCAAAAACTTACTCGCCCATGCAATAATTTTATTCTCATTTTATTTTTTTCTTATTTTCATTAATATTATTTATTTTTTGTATTTGTTTTTTATTTCAAATCAGGTAAGGAATTTGGATGTACCGTTGAGGCAAATGTTGTTTAGTTTATTCTTCTTCATGACATATGTTTGTTTCAAAATTTTTGGAAACATTTATTTATTTATTTATGTATTTATTTATTTTTTTGGTTCCGCGTTCGGCCGGATGTCAGAACGCGTCGAGAGGGGGTCCCAAACGTTCGGGCGTTCGGGTTCGGGCGTTCGGCCAGTTCCGAACGTCGGCAACCATATATATATCGTAAAATAGAACTGCCCGGTAAACCGTAGGCAGAGAGGGAGAAGAGGACAACAAACGAGGGGCTGTGACAAACTGTTTCGTCGGAGTTTCACCGACTCATCAGGAGGCTGAACCCTATATATATATATATATATAAGGATAACCCGGAGACAAGACTGACCTGTTGAAGCAAATTGGCAAAAAAAAATATAAAAAAAAAAAAAATTATAAAAGGATAAGCAAAAAATCGGAAAAAAACAGGTTACACAGAAAAACAAAAAGAACAACTTTTTCCCCCAACTGCCTGGTAAACCGTAGGGACGGAGAGAGAAGAGCATAACAAACGAGGGTTCTGGCAAATTGTTTCGCTAGACTGTGCCCCCGACTCATCTGGAGGCTCAACCCTAATTTTTGATATATATATATATATATTCTTGTGACAATATATATATATATATCGTCACAAACGGAACTGCCTGGTAAACCGTAGGCAGAGAGAGAGAAGAGGACAAAAAACGAGGGGCTGTGACAAACTGTTTTGTCGGAGCTTCACCGACTCATCAGGAGGCTGAACCCTCAACAGTCTACATCATCCCCTCACTGATTACACTGTAAATGATAATCTACCTTAACCAAAATCAAAGTAGACTATCACTCACCCACACCAGATGAAAAACTCTACAGTACAGACTGTCGGTTCACACCCCATCATATATATATATATATATATATATATATATATATATATATATATTGTCAAATAGAACTGCCCGGTAAACCGTAGGCAGAGAGGGAGAAGAGGACAACAAACGAGGGGCTGTGACAAACTGTTTCATCGGAGTTTCACCGACTCATCAGGAGGCTGAACCCTCAACAGTCTGTAGAATCCC